AAATAGGGAAAAGAGGAAAAATCTTCAGGGAGTTTTTATTCATGATAGGAGGAAAGAGAAATGAGGAAAAATTCCTGGGAGTTTCTATTCAGAATCGGGCTGATTATGTCGCTCACACATATTTCACAAAAACATATGAAGACACTGTCGAATAATTGAAATCAAATCATGCATCAAATCTATGCTTGTCAACACAAGCAACACATGCGACACATGCGACATAGTCAGCATTATTAATTACATTTTATATACGGGAAGAGATTTTGTAAATTTTTTAAGCACCTATTATAGTAAAATGCATTAAAGAATTGTCTAATTAAAAACCTGTATATATTTTCATCCAAGGCAGGATCAAACAGTATTAAAAATATGCTACAGAAGCACAACAGCTTAGCTAAGTAGCAACGACATGCTAAAACAGTACGTTTGAGAGGGAATGACATGGCAGAACACCTTGTTTAGGCTCCGTTATGCATACTTGGCATTGCATGCACTGCTATACCATTTTTACGTAGAAATCAAAAACCAACAGACTTTTACGTATGTAATGCTGTGCGTTGGGTAACCGCTTACACGCGAAGCTCATTTAACAGATTCCTTATGTGACAACTCTCAAGCAATGCCAAGTATGCATAACAGAGCCTTTTGAGTTGACATGACATAGCAATGCATGAAATTTTTGAAAAAGACATTTTTACAGAAAATTTTGAATTTTGCAGTTCTTTAATACATATGTACATACATAGGCTGACTTCCAAAATGTCATTTGCAATGTATACGTCGTAAGCATCATGTTCCGTATTGTATTTTAACTAAGCATTAAGTTCCAAAATGTACTAAGACGGTAGTAACAGCGTATCATACAAGTATTTACGGCATCACTAAAACAACAAAATCATCAATCAACAACAAAATATTTGGTCTGGAGAGAGATGAGAGAATGAGAGTGTGAAAATGTGCGTGCATAAGAAGTGTTCCATAATGTAAAATTTTACTTTGCATATTTTTGCCTTGTATTTTAACTAAGCATAGATACGTTGTGTACACACCGCAGTCAAACTGTATACATACATTGCAACCATACATTTTGGAAGTCAGCCATACATATAGCAGCAATTAATCATTTAAAGAAATGGCGTGTCGTCCATTTCTGCTGTAGCGTATGTAGTGCATATTTTTAGGCGCAATATTTAACTTCTTCTGGCGGGGCGACATCTAGAGTCTTCTAATTGTATGTTTTTGATATGATACCTAGGACGAGGTTGATATCTAGACTTTGCCATAAATACCTTTGCTATATTTATAGTACAAATTGTTGTCTGGACATACAACATTGCAAGTTGATAAAAGCGTTGTAAAAAAGGAGTTAATCAATTCGTCGGAATAGTATTTTTTTAAGTATGTTACTGCATAACCTCGGACCACGTCAACCGATTTCTATAATTCTTTTTTTATGTGGTACCTCAGGGGTAGTCCCGTACTAATTCGGTTTAGGTCCGATCATTGGATCATGAAGAAATTGACGGTACTCTTAATTTTTTATATAAGAATTGAAGTCGGTTTTGTTTTTTGCTTAAAAATTACTTGTGGCAGTTTATATTGCACGAATGGTTTTTTAATACCCTTTGCCTGCTGCGATCGACCAGCAAAAGTCCGCCAACAGTGAATTCAATCGTTTTTCAGCGAATCGAACCTCATAATGGATTGGTGAAATCTTTCTGGGTTTCTGTTGAAAACTGTTGTTCGTAAAGTTCAAAGTGACTGTGTAGCATGGAATTACCACAAACGAAACATATGTATGTTGTTTAATTTTTTGCAAAGCTTCTTAAGTTTTTCATCTTTGGGAGTTTCCGAAGACAATGATATAATGAAAAAAAGTTATCGCAAATTTTTCAATGTTTTTTTTATCAATTAATAAGACAGCAATCGCGCGCGGAGGGTTTCGGTTTGTGTTGTTTGTCTTGCCAACTTATGTAAAATATGACGCGGTATGGACCGCCACCTATTGGAAAACATTACCCAGTCACTTTGACTTTAACGAACAGCAGATTTCACAGCACAAAAAAGGTATTAAAAACATATTCGTGCAAGAGAAACTGTCAAAATATGCAAACATGTGCCAAAATTGAATTGAAAAGAACCCAAGTTGAGGTCCAAATAGTGTACAATCTAATAAAATTACAAAATATTACGAAATAAAATATGAATTACAACGTAAAACCACATATCTAAACAATCAGTTGTGCTATAGTGAACCGATTTCGATGATTTTCAGAAATAGTTAAGGCAATATCGAAAAACTGTCACGTGCAAAATTTTAGTAAAATAACTTTAAAACTAAGGGAATTATTAACAAAAATGTTAAAATTTAAGCAAAATTTCAAGTACCGTTATCTTAAAAACGAGCTAATCTATCCTTTCTATCTCAATATCTCAAAATTTTGACGTGATACGGATTTTCTGAAAGCGGCATCGTAATCTAGAGGCCAAACTTAAGTTTATGTGTTTGGTCGTTTAGCTGTGATATATTTGCCTCCCTACTGTTTCAGATTCAAGACATTCTCCTTCTTTTTTGTCGCAATAACCACCTAAGCGGATTTGGCGATAAAACTCGCAAGTCGTTTCCTTTTTGTGCCATTGCTTGAAGGATTTTTCCGAGAAAAAAATAATGCTCAAAAAACAAGCATTATTTTCCGAGCAAAAAATAAAACTCAAAACATAACGATTATTATCTGAGCAAAAAATAAAACTCAAAAAATAATGATTAAACTTGATTTTTATAAGCAAAAATAAAAAATAAACTGAAAAATCAGCGCCGCTGAAGGTATTCCGAGTAATAAGAAATATATTGGTTTACTCCTTATGTACGCAGCATTTCTCTTTCAATGTGATTTTTTGAGTTGAAATTTCAAAAATAATCGTTATTTGCGGTCCCTGGGTTAAACTGTCTGGTACTCAATTTTTTTAAAAGGCACACATGCTTTTACCACACATTCGGATACAAATTCATAACTTTGGTTTAAATCTTTTTTTCTGGATTGGGCTTCAGGTTAAAAGAATGGACAAATTTATCAGAATTTATTTCTTTGTCAAATGAACAGGAAGGCTCTCTTTTTCGGCCTGTAAGGAGCCGAGAATATATAACATCTTCAGCTGCCGTTGATCATCCAAAACATTGTGGAGGTGGTAATGACGAGCGAATCAAAAGTACTGAAGCACACAGTTCAACGTCGTCGAAAACTAAATATAATGCATTCTTCAAAAATAAAATCTGCAGTCGAAGATAATAGTAAAGAAGCGCGTAGAAAAATTGTAATTCCAGAGAGACCATTCAAAAATATCGATCTTGAAAAAGAAACAATCACATTTCGAAAACCCTAAACTGCTATTAACCGAAAAAATTTTTTTTAAGACATGCTTTTACCACACATTCGGATAAAAATACATAGCTTTGGTTTGAAACTTTTTTCTGGAATGGGCTTCGGGTTAAAAGAATGAGTTACTGGTTTGTTTAACCCACTGCCGTTCGAAATTGGAAGTCGGTAATACTACCAAAATGTGGCATCGCCGACTTGGTAATTAATTTTTTTTTTTGTTTTCCAATAAAAACGTTTGCGTCCATTTTAGAAGTCCAAACGTCATTTAGAAGCTGAAAATGGCGATTCCGAGAAAAAGTTTCAAACAACAGTTCATATGCATACAAAAACAACAACAAAACACGTGAATGAATTCAGGACATTAAAAATGGTTATGTTTTTAGTCAGTACAATTACATATGGGAGGTTCCATGGGAAAGTGGACCTCAGTGCGAAAATTATTTTCTTTATAAAACTAACAAACGTGTGGATAAGACATATGTAAAAATTTTGAATCAACCAAAAAATAACAGGACAGTTGTCAGAGGTAGATTTACAGGGCTTTATTTGTTTGTTGAGGTGGACGCAATATACCTTTGTGGTCAGCTGATTAAATTAAGTTACATTTTGACCAGTTTTGGTTTTTTATTTTGTTAATCTAATGTTTATAGTTTTTTTTTTTTATAAAAATCTAGCACATTACCTAACGAGAACCACATAAATCTACATTTCAAACTTCTTACAAAAAATATAAAAATTTAACAAACTTTAACAATTACACCAAATATTTTAAACTTTTTGTTCAGAATTTTTAGGTATGCAGTTTTATAGTCCATTAAAGTCAAGACGCTAGGAAGTCACGTTCATTTTTAATAATTTTTTTGTCTGACGGTCCTAAGCATATTCTTCTATATAAAAGGCACCATCCTAAGATAAAACGTGAGTGAATTTAACCCCTCCTTGGCTTCTTATATTTTTTAATAACTAATCTTTATATATGGACCTCACTAAAAGCTCCCTTTCATATAAAAATTCGTACGTGTCCTACCCGGGACAAACGTTGTCCCACCCGTGACAGAGGAATTTCGGATTTTTTGTATAATAAAGGCATAATTTTTTTGTAGTTTTTGCTTTGTTTGTGTTCCTGGTTCTTTGTTTTATTATAAGACATCAAGTTCAGACAGAAAAGTGAAATAAATTCGCAGAGTTTCCGTAAAATATATCTGCTCCAAAAAGCAGGTTCTTTTTTTGTCCCACCCGTGACAGAAGATATAAATCAGATTTTTTCCATATAAAAGTAAGCTGGAATTTTTTTCGTATTTTGTAATGACTCATATAATAGTCAATTAGGTGTAGCTTTATGAAATTGTACAATTGTTGAGTACTTTATACTTAAATTTCAACAAGAAAGAAAATTTTTTCTGTACAAATGTCCAACCCGTGACGGTGGAATCGCCCATATGTTTAAACATGAATTTCCTTCACTCAGATAAAATAGTTAAATTTTTCATAGCACTATTTTCTTTCAAAAATGGATATCACTTTCAAATTGTTAGTACTAATTAATAAATCAAGTACTCTCATATTAGTATTAAACTCGAAAAAATTTAAATGTACTGTTTTCTTATTTCTTTTATCTTTTAGACGCGCATCTTCACCTAACTACTCGGGGGTCTCACTATTTTCTGCCACAAATGCCACATCCAGGTTTAAAACCAAGGCCGCCATGAAAGGTTATGAAAACACACATGTTGACTTAACAATATGTAAGGAGTTAGGAATAAAGTCGCCAGCCGTATGCAAATTGACAGAGTTGGCGGAAATCGCTTTGGGAAATGAAAAATCAAATTCACCAGAATTTACTTCTTTATCAAATGAACAGGAAGGCTCTATTTTTCGGGCTGTAACGAGCCGAGAATATATAACTTCCTCAGCTGCCGTCGATCATCCGAAAAATTGTGGAGGTGGTAATGACGAGCGAATCAAAAGTAAAGAAGCACACAGTTCAACGTCGTCGAAAACTATAATGCATTCTTCAAAAATAAAATCTGCGGTCGAAGATAATAGTAAAGAAGCGTGCAGAAAAATTGTGATTCCAGAGAGACCGTTCAAAAATATCGGTCTTGAAGAAAAAGAAACAATCACCTTTCAAAAACCCAAAACTACCATCAATTTTCTCACAGATGATAACAGTATATCGACAACAAGTTACTCAGATCGTGATGATTTTGACTTTGCCTCTTTGAGCTGCGATGAAGAGCTCAGTCCAAAGCCTAGTATCGAGAGAAATGTCAAAAATAATTCCGATAGCAGTTCCAGTCGTGCCTCTGCTAAAACTTTTGAAAATAAGTCTCTCATAATGGATCGTATATTTAAAAATATGGGCACGAAAGCGAAAACATCCATTAAAGTTCAAAGCATAGGTATACAAAAAGGTTCGTCACCCAAAGCTGACATCAATCAATTGTTTGACGAACTACGCGGTGATTGTGAGGCTAAAGTAAAAACATCAGAAAGTGTCCCGAAAAAACATACCAGTTTGATAAGCCCCGAAAATGTGAAAGTCAAACAAAGGCAACAACCTTCCCAAACGGAAAGTCCATCGTCTTCGAAGCGTGGATCGCGAGAAACTCGAAAGAAGTCAAATGCCAGCGCAAAAAGTCAAAAAGAAATATCCAGACTCCAATCTGAACTAGGTATGAGCCAAGAGGAGATAGTTAAGCTGATTAACGAAGGGCAAAGAAAATCTAAAAGACGTTGCGCTACGAACAGGCCAAAAAAGCTAGTCGAAATGTGGAGCTCAGACGAGTATGAAGAGTTTTTGTCCACGAAAGATATCATAGCTCTCATAGAGGAGAAAGAAAAACAAGAAACGCGAAAAAAACGCAAAAGCGCCAACCAATTGAGCACGTGTAGCAACAAAAATAAAGTCATTGAACCTCCTAAGTTAATACCAAGTAGACGCAAAAGTGTACGGTGTTTAGTTGATAAGGACGAAAGACTTCTAGGGGGCCCTGCAGGTGCAGAAAAGGGCGGATGCAGTAAAAATAATAATGTTGTGAGTACCCAGAACAAGCACGTGCCCACACATTCCTTGGAGAGTAAAGGGAAACATACCCGTAGTTGCACAGGAGCGGAAAGCGATATTAAACTCAAAGATAGTATTAGTAGCGAATTAAACCATAAGAGTTCAACTAATCGGATAAAAACTAAAAGAAAAAAGTCTCCTAAGGCCAGTTCCAATGTTATTTCATCCAAATCATTAGCATTAATTAAGGATGCTAAAAAGACTACTACATTTGAAGCTTCCCCAGACTGCGCAAAAGAGGTGCAGCCAGAGAGTGATGCAAAGGCCGATAAATATTTATCCGAATTGAAACGAACTAATTCTAGATCTAGAAATAGCAGAGGAAGAAAACATAGTGATTTTAAGGAAATTGTAAATAACGTAAAAACATTAAAATGGGAACCTTGCACTAGTGTTGTAGTTAATAAGAAGCACACTAGTAATAATAATAATAATCAGTGCTATAAAAATCGGAGAAAAAACCAATCAAATCAATCATCTCCACGGCGGAAACGCTTGGCTTCCGAAAAGCTATATTACTGGTCGTCATCAAGTGATGAGGATTTTGGGAAAATTAATTCAACATGTGAGCAGGAGTTAGACGGCGGGGAACAATATCAAAAGCATGGCTGGATTGTTGGGGATTCACATAAAAAATTAGTTACTTTACTCGCAATAGCAAAAGGAAATAAAAAAGTTGATAATAGTTGTGGAGTGAAGAAAAATGTTAGCAGAAAGAAAAATTAATGTTGATAAGTATGTAAATATAAAATTTTAAAATTAAGATAATGTTATGTGTATAACGGATTTTTTATTAAATATATTTTTAAAATAAAGCCTAGCTTATGGTAAATTGCAAAAAAAAAAATATTTTTAATGGAGTGCTCCTCCAAAGTAATTTTCTCAGCACTTGGAGGAATTCTTTCTCCCAGCTGATTTAATTTCTCCCGAGACCAATATCCTCCAACTATAAACTCCTCAGGAAAATATTTCCCCAGGTTATTCGAATGGGTATGCGTTAAACATAGCGATGTAAGGGAAGCGGCGTAAAATTCATTTCCACAGCACCGCACATAAGGACAAAGTCACTGATTACGACGGAAAAAATAGAAAAACAAATTTCTTTGAACATTATCACACATCTTCTTTATTGGCGCTGTAACCGCCTGAGCGATTTTGGCCGAGTCCAAAACAGCACGCCAGTCATGCCAGGAAATGCCAAGTGAAGCCAAGTTCTTCACCTGGTCTCTCCAACGCATAGAAGCCCTTCCTCTATTACCAGCATCGCGGCCCGCGTTGAATACTTTCAGAGCATGAGCGTTTCTGTCCATTCGAACGACATGGCCAAGCCAGCGGAGCCGCTGAATTTTAATTCGCTGCACTATGTCTATATCGTTGTAAAGCTCATACAGCTCATCGTTAAATCGTCTGCG